AAGAAGTCAGACCCAAATGAGTGCATGCTGTGTGATTCCATTCTTATAAAATTAAAAATAAAAGAAACAGGCAAAACTTATCCCTAGTGGCTGAAGTCAGAATAGTGGTTACTTCTAAGGTGCGGGATATTGATTGTCATGGGGCTCCGGAACCTTCTGGGGACTGGAATTGTTTGATTTCCAGATCCGATTGGTGGCTACACAAATATGAGTATATTTTGAAAGCATCAAGCTCTACACTCCAGATATGTATGCAAGTCACTATAGGGTATTTGTGTCGGGTCCCCTGATGCAAACATGATAGGCTAGTTCTTTTACCATAAACTTATCTGAGATCCTCTGAATAGAGTCTGTGCAAAAAAAATCAGTATAGTAATAATCAACCCACCAGTTGCCTTCAAGCTGATTCCAACTCACACAAAGCCATGTAGAACTGTTGTGTTATCAGTGTGTAGAACTCCCTAGTGTTATCAGTGGCTGATTTCTCAAAGGTCGACTGCCAGACCTTTCTTTTGAGGTGCCTCTGGGTGGACTTGAACCTGCAACCTTTTGATTCGTATCAGAGCAAGGTAGCCATCTATTCAACCCAAGGGCTCCAAGTATTAGTAATAACAATAACTTCAGTGAGTGTTTATATGTACCAGGCCCTACCTGGACCATCTCTTGCACTCTGAAAACACATCCATAGGGAGTTACTGTCCATCTCTCCACTTCACAGATGAGGAAACTGAGATACAGAGAAGGGAAGTCACTTGTCCATGGTCTCACACAGTAAAGCGGCAGAGCTGGGATTTGAACCCCAATCAGTCTGATTCCAGAGCCTTGGTTCTTAATCTGCTTTAACATTTCATCCTTTACAGCAAGACAAGGGGACTTTTCAAGTTCCTTAATATTGCCTGAGAAACTTCCAGGCACTACAATGCAGTCAGTACTTTCAGCATTAAGAGAATAAAGAATCAGGGCTTAGGGTGACAGGTTAACAGCGGATTTAATTCCTGAGGTCTGTTGGAGTTGTTGGTGTTAAGTGCCGTTAAGTCATTTCCAACTTATAGCGACCCTGTCTAAGGTTTCCGAGGAACGATTGGTAAGTTTGAACCGCCAACCTTGTGATTCAAATGACCTTAAGGTCCAGTGTTTATCCTACAGCGCCACACCAGAAGTCCTCCTAGTTTGGCATTTCGGTACAAAGGTCTGTTTTCTTTGCCTGTAATGGAGCAGGATAGGAGCTATTACTGGTTTGTGTCATATAAGGTCAAGAAGCTACACACAGTGGGGGCCACACAGCATGTTTTTATAGGTCTCTCTCTGGGGCTTTCTGGAACATCATGTCTTAAGAATGAAATTTCCACAGCATATTCCACACTTTTAAGATCTGCTTTAGACTTTTTGCAAAGAATAAAGGGGCTTGTTTTCCTCTTTTTCTAGCTTTTATATTGCTATTATATTGAATACCAAGTAACTGCAGGAACTGGGTAAGGTATTAGCCATTCGTTTCCTTATAAAACATAGAGCTTGTTGTTTTCTAGATATCCTCTTATGTTCCTTGCTGCCTTCTCAATCTTTTCTCTGAAGTTCTCCTATGAAAAACTGGCTGGATCATCATTTAAGGATTAAATGGGTTCATGATTTATGGATAAAAAGGAGCTATGCATTACAAATTTTCTAAAAATCCATCAGGAGTAAAGTCATAAGGTGACTTAATGATATTCTAGTCCCTTCTCATGTGGCACTGTGGATCAGCACTGGACTGTGAACCACAAGGTCAGCAGTTCAAATGCACCAGCTGCTCCTCGGAAACCCTATACAGGGTCGCTGTGAGTCGGAACTGACTCGACAGCAGTTAACTTGATAGCAAAACAAACAAACCAGTTGCCTTAGACTCAGCGCAACTCAGGGCGACCCCACGTGTGTCAGAGTAGAACTGTGCTCCACAGAGTTTTCAATGACTGATTTTTTGCAAGTAGAACATCAGGACTTTCTCCCAAGGTGCCTCTGGGTAAACCTGCACAGCCAATGTCTATGTTCAGCAGCCGAGTGTGGTAATTGCCTTGGTAAGCAAAGTTGGCACTACCCAGGGACTCTGTTAGTAACCAGACCCAAACACCTTTTGAAATGGACTTCATAATATGAATGCAAAATTGCCCCCTACTCTCTTCCTCACGCCCCAAAATAACTACATATGCACTCACTTTTCAAGTAACTTGAAAAAATGATTCAGTGTTGAGATTTTCAATTTAAAAATCCATCTCATCCCACCCCAGCCCCTGGTGACCTCGATAGCCCCCTCCCTACCACTAGGCCTGCTGGTTCACTCTCTAGTCCCAGCTTCAGAGTTAAATCCACTAAGAATAGGTCATTTATCAGCAGACTCCAGGATGACACGTAAGGTGCGCGGCCCTTGACCTGGGCTACCGAGTACTGGGCGGCAGACTTCTCATCCCTTCCTCAGGCTCCACTCTCTACTCCGCCCTCAGCTCACTTACGCTGCTCAAGACGCTGCCCTCCATCAAATCTCTGCTGCAGCTCCAGCCACGTCCAGGGTTGGACTCCACTCCCTGGAGCCACATTGAGATCTACCCTATGTTGGAGACTGAATTTTCCAGAGCTGCCCCTTCTGAGTAATGTCTTTCATCCCCTAAATAAACCTGCCTAAGTCCTGGTGTGGTGCTGTGGGATAATGCACTGGACTGCAAGGTTGGTTTGAACTGCAAGGTTGTTGTTGTTGTCAGGTGCCATCGAGTCGGAACCGACTCATAGCGACCCCATGCACAGCAGAATGATACAATGTCCGATCCTGGGCCAACCTCACTTCTGTTGCCACACTTGACGCCATCAATGATGCCACCTAGCCAATCCATCTCATTGGGGGTCTTCCTCTTTTTCTCTGACCCTCCACCTTACCCAGCATGACATCCTTCTCCAGAGACTGTTCCCTCCTGACAATATGTCCAAAGTATGAGAGACGAAGCTTAGCCATCCTGGCCTCCAAGGAGCACTCTGGCTGCACTTCTTCCAAAACAGATCTATTGGTTCTTTTGGCAGTCCATGGCACTTTCAGTACTCTCCTCCAACACCACAACTCAAAGGCATCAATTCTTCTACGATCTTCCTTATTCACTGTCCAGCTTTCGCATCCATATGAGGTTATTGAAAATATCATGGCTTACAAGGTCAGCGGTTCAAATTCACCAGCCATTCCTCAGAAACCCAAAAGAGGGTCGCTACAAGTGAGAACCAACTCGAGGGCACTTAACAACAATAACAAGTCCTAGTGTGGCACTGTGGGATAAAGCAATGGACAGCAAGGTAGGTTGGGAACAGCCACTCCTTGAAAACTCTTTACAGGGTCGCCAACAGTCAGAATCAACTAGACAGCACTTAACAATAACAACAACAAATCAAATCACAACTTGCCAGCCTTTGGTTGCACAAGTCAGGACAGTGCAGCTGATCTCAGCTCCATCATATGCCCCAAGAAGAAAATTTTGTCTAGCTCTTCAGCCTTCTTGTAGTTTCCAAGGTCTGTCAGAATCCACTGCTATCCTGCATCATCTCACATTCATCCCCCATCTACTCCACTGTCCCATCACACAAACAACTCTGCATTTGGACAACAATTTGTGTGTGACTCCCAAAGCCAAGGAGCCATCACTTCATATCCACTAGGATGATTAGTATGAAAACCACAGCAAATGACAAGTACTGGCAAAGATGTAGAGAAACTGGAACCCTCATCCCCTGCTGGTTGGTCTGCAAAATGGTGCAGCTGCTAGGGAAAGCTAATAGCAAATTTTTGCCACAATCCAAGTGGGTATCTTCCCCAATCACTGAACCTTTGCAACAAGTTTGTGGGTGAGTTGCTCCACAAAAAACAACAGTTTTCAGACGCATCAAGATTTAATGAGGGCAGGAAGACCCCAAAGTTGAATTCAAGACATAAAGGTCAGCTCAGAAGGTTATATTGACTGTTTTGTGGAGACTCTAAAGGGGTTACCTTGATAAATGGGCTCAAAGGACACAGGACAATTATAAGAGCTAATTAAGAAGCATTAATAAAATTGAAACCTGTATTCGTGACAAAAAGCCCCGGAAAATAGCACTGAAGAATTTTTTTTTCCATCATAAGGGAGCAAAGGTTGTGCTGTGAGATTATGTGGCAATACTTTTTTACTTTTCCTTGTATATATTTGACCATAATTTAAAAAATAAAGACATATGCAAATTTTAATGCTTTTAGACCACCAATGTGAACTGGGGGTGCCAAGGAGTCACAGTGCCAGCTGTCCAGTTTCCACATGTCAACGAAGCATGGCCTTAATCTCGACTTTGCCCTCATGAAGGGGTTAAAGCATAGACACACACACATGCATTTTTCTCCTTTTTGGAAAACATACTTGGGAAAAAAAAAAAAAAAAAGTGTGGTGCTGGCAATAGAAACAAGGTAAAACTCTAGAAGAAAGCAATGCTTAATCAGCAAACAGGCGCACCAGCGGTATCGTGGGTTGTACGTTGGGATGCTAACTACAAAGTCAGCAGTTTGAATTCACCAGTCAAGGATAAAAACAAGGCTTTCTGCTCCTGTAGAGATTTATAGCCTCAGAAACCCTATCTAGGTTTGCTATGAGTTGGAAACACCTCAAGGACACAGAATCACCACCATCACCAATCATAAAACAGACGTTTTAGGTGATTTGGGAGCTGAATAAAATATTTGGTGATGGCGAAAAATGCATGAACCCATCATATAATTCTGGTGGAAATAGGAAAAAATGACTCTCAAGCAAATGTTCCAACCAAAGCAAGAACCACACATTAAGTAGGAAATTATACGCAAGCATGGGTAATCTAAAAGTCTTGGGAATCTTTGAAAGTGTAAAAAGACTACTGTACTGGATGTGCCACAGAGAATAGAGAGTTAGTTATATTGGAAGCATTTCCGGAAAACATTTCCTGCCCATTGGCCAATGGCAAAGCCAAAGGGTCTTTCATAAGGCTCTTACCTGGTCATCATAGCGATATGTGAGGAACTGCTCCCCTGTGGTATCTTCAAGAAAACTTCCCTGAGGAGAGAGTGCAAACTCGGGAAGGAAATAGGCTCCAGGAGACTTCTCTGCTGTGGTCTGAAAGGCAAAACCACTAGGTCACAAATCAGAAACCATTGAGGTCCTCCTGAAAGGCAGACCCTGAAAAGGGCTATTCCAAGGGAATGTTACACGCACTAAAGGTGACACCAAGGGTAGTACCATCTCTTGGCCAAGGCCATGGTGCATACACAAGGGTATCTGTGTTGCAGGACTGTTAAGTTGGGATATCACACTAGATCACTTTCAAATTGGCATACCTGGTATTCCCTAACATCTGTCTTTCTTCTATCCACACCTTCACATTCCAACAATTTAGCCATGATACCGTTAACTTAGAGTTCTTGGGTGGTACAAATGATGAATGTGCTTGAGAGCGAACCACAGAAGCTGGAGGCTTGACTCCACATAGAGGTGCGTTAGAAGAAATGACTAGCAAGCTACATCTGAAAACCCAACCCTTGAAAACTCTAAGGAGCACTCACGGACTCACCATGGGTTGGAATTAACTCTTCAGTAACTAGTGGTGGTGGTAGGTAGTTAACCTGCTTAAGCTTAGGTGTTTTAAAGCCATTCTTTCTAGATTTCTTTTTCTTTCTTTTTACCTCTTGAGAGGTAGGAACAAACTTTTCTTTCCATATTACAACAGAAATGTATGGTCATTATGGTGGTGGTGGTGGTTGTGTCGTGGAGTCAGTTCGAACTCATAGTGACCCTGTACAGGCTTTCCGAGCCTGTAAATCTCTGCAGGAGCAGAAAGTCTCATCTTCCTTCTGCGGAACAGCTGGTAGTTTCAAACTGCTGACCTTAAGGTCCACAGCCTGATTCGTATCCACTATGCTACCAAAGCTCCTTATGGTCATTATGGTGGTGGTGGTTATGTGCCATGGAGTCGATTTTGACTCAGCAACACTGTACAGGGTTTCCAAGGCTGTAAATCTTTATGGGAGCAGAAAGCCTCATCTTTCTCCCAAGGAACAGCTGGTAGCTTCGAACTGCTGACCTTGAAGTTAGTAGCCCGATTTGTAATCACTATGCTACCAGAGCTCTCTGTCATTATAGAAACTTTAAAAACTATAGAAGAGCATTAAAAAAAAATTTTAATCACCTATAATCCCTTCAACCTGTATTAACTACTTTCAATTGTGTTGATATTTTTTTTCTCATAGTACTTTGTATGTTCATATAAAAACTCAAGTTTAAATAAACAGATTCCATTTCGATCCAGGAAAACTCATACCCCAGCATTTGAAGCTTTAGACTTTAATCCCAACTGCTAGGGACTGAAGGAAGTCAAGCAGAAGGGCTTAGATATGATGACCTACCCACCCCCAACCCTCCATGCCCCCCGCCCCGGACACACACACATCCTGGGAGAGACCAACCTAGAGAAAGTCTGAATATGCAAAGTACTTACCCAGGAGCCTTGCGTTGATTGGATCAAGAAAGAAAGAGATAAAGGCAACCCAATCCCCAACGTTTAGTACCACTTAATCAAAAACCATTGATCAATAACTATGTCACCAGCCACCTACCTCACTCCCTCTGCATGGGAAAGCATGACTGAAAAATGGAGCAAGATAAATCACCCCATGCAAACAGGAAGAATGGGGAGTAGGTGTACCTCTCAAGTACCTATGTCTGGACTGATCACCGAAAGGTACCTCTTGGAACCCTATCCAGGGTCACTATGATTTGTAACCAACTTGATGGCACACAAGTACCTATCTAGTGTGTCGTGGTGATAAAAAGGTGAAACACTCAGTTGCTAACCCAAGAAATGGTTCTTCGAGCTCATCCAATGGCTCTGTGGGGAAAAAAAAAGAAAATGACCTGGATCGGATTCCATAAAGATAACAGGAAAAAAAAAACAACAACCCTATAGAGTAGTTCTGCCCTGTCACATGGGGTTACTATGACTCAAAATTAGATCGTATGCAACCTAAAACAACTATACTTATGTTCTCCCAGTAGTCACATTTGCAAACTACAGCAGGGACTTTGGATGAAGCAAAAACAGGAAACACAGGGAGGAAATAGGATAAGCGATGTTACATTGAGGGACCTGTAATCAGTGAGATGAAACAAAACGTGTATGAATTCTTGAATGCCAAACAGATGATCTGTTCCATAAATCGTCACCCAATTCACAATAAAATATATATTTTTTAATATTACTCTTTAGAAAGGGAACTGAATATGGGATAGCTTTGTCATACAACACAAAACACAGAAGAGAACACTTTAAGTTTCAATGACTACTATTGTTAGGTGTCCTCTAGTCAGTTCCAACACAAAGTGACCCTGTGTACAACAGAACAAAACACTGCCTGGTCCTGTGCCAACCTCACAATTGTTGTTGTTATGCTTGAGCCTACTGCGGCTGCCACTGTGCCAATCCATCTCATGTGGGCTCTTCCTCTATTTCGCTGACCCTTCACTTTGCCAAGCTTAATGTCATTCTGCTATGACTGATCCCTCCTGATAATATGTCAGATATATGAAACATGAAATCTGGCCATCCTGGCTTTGAAAGAGGATTCTAACTGTACTTCTTTCAACACAGATTTGTTTCATCTTCTGGCAGTCCATGGGTCTCTTAATACCCTTTTCCAACACCATAATTCAAATGCATCATTTCTTCTATGGCTTTCCTCCTTATTTACTGTCCAACTTTCACATGCATACGAGACTATTAAAAATACCACGGCGGTGTCAGGTGCATCTAAGTCCTCAAACTAATATCTTTGCTCTTGAACACTTTAAAAGATTTTATGAAGCAGATTTGTTTAATGCAATAATTTGTTTGATTTCCTGACTGCTGCTTTCTTGAGTGTTGATTGTGGATCCAAGCAAAATGAAGTCTTTTACAACTTCAGTCTTTTCTCCATTTATTATGATGGTATTTACTGGTCCAGTTATGAGGATTTTTGTTTTCTTGGCATAAAGGTGCAATCCATACTGAAGGATGTATTCTTTGATCTTCATCAGTAAGTAGTTTAAGTCCTCTTCTCTTCCAACAAGCAAGGTTGTATCATCTACTCATCAAAGGTTGATAATGACACTTCCTCTAATCCTGATGTCACATTTTTCTTCATACAATCCAGTTTCTCAGTTTATTTGCTCAACATACAGACTGAATAAATATGATGAAGGAACACAGCCCTAGTGCATACCTTTCCTGACTAAAAACCATTCAGCATCCCCTTGATCTGTTCAAATGACTGTCTCTTGATCTATGTACAGGATCATCATGAGCACAATTAAGTTTTCTGGAATACTCAATCTTTGCAATGTTATCCATAGCTTGTCATAATCCACAGAGTCAAAAGCCTTTGCATAAGCAATAAAACACAAGTAAACACCGTTGTGGTATTTTCTGCTTTCAGCCAAGATCCATCTGATGTCAGCAATGATATCCCTCATTTCATGTCCTCGTTTGAATCCAGGTTGAATTTCTGTCATTTCCCTGTCAATGTACTGTTGTAGTCATTTATGAATTATCTTCAACAAATTTTACTTACATGTGATATTAATAATATTGTTCAATGATTTCTGCATTCCATTAGGTCATCTCTCTTTGGAATGGATACAGATATAGCTCTCTTCCAATTAATTGACCAGATAGTCAAATTTATTGGCTTAGGTGAATGAGTGCTTCAAGTTTTGTATCCATTTTTTGAAACATTTTAACTTTTACTCCATCATTTTCTGAAACCTGGTTTTTCACCAATGCCTTCAGTGCAATTTGGACTTCTTACTTTCAGTAGCATTTGACTTAATCATAAATTACCCTTGAAATGGTTGAACATCAACCAATTATTTTTGGTACAGTGACTGTATATACCGTCCATCTTCTTCTGACGTTTTTTGCATCATTCTTTATTGTGCCCATAGAATCCTCAATATTGCAAGTCAAGGCTTGAACTTTTTTTCCCCAGTTCTTTCAGCTTGAGAAATGCTGAGTATGTTCTTCTCTTTTGGTTTTCTAAAACTATGTCTTCGCATATTTCATTACAATACCTGACTTTGTCTCCTTCAGTTGCCATTTAAAATTTTCCATTCAGCTCTTTGACTTCCTCAGTACTTCCATTCACTTTAGCATCTCTGTAGTGGAGAGCAAGTTTCAGAGTCTCTTCTGGCGTCTATTTTTGTCTTTTCTTTCTTTCCTGCCTTTTTGATTACGTTTTTGATCTTCCTGTATGATGTTCTTGATGTCATCCCACAGCTCTTCTGGTTTCCAGTCATCAGTGTCTAATGCATCAAATCTCTTCTTCAGATGCTCTCTAAATTTAGGGGGGACATGTTGGACTTCTGGTGTGGCGTTGCGGGTTAATGCGGTAAACTGCAATGTCATTGTGGGCCATTAAAGTCGGCAGTTCTAGCTCACCAGCCGCTCCTTGGAAACCCTGTACAGGGTTGCTATGAGTCGGATCCCAACTCGATGGCACTTAACAATGAAAAACAAAAACATGTTTGAGGTCATACTTTGGCCCTCAGAGACTAGTTATAATTTTCTTCAGCTTCACCCTGAACTTGCACATGAGCCATTGATGCTGTTCCACCGTCGGCCCCTGATCTGGTTATGGCTGATGATATTGAGCTTTTCTGCAACTCTTCCCACAGATGTAGTCAACTGGATTCCTGCATATTCCATCTGGTAAGATCCATGTATACAGTTACCTTTTATGTGGATTAAAAATTCATTTGAATTTTTTTTTAAAGCTATTCACAACGAATACGTCATTGGTATTGCAAAATTGTATTGTGTGATCTCCAGCATCATTTCTATCACCAAGTCCATATTTTCCAACTCCTGATCCTTCCTCTTTGTTTCCAGCTCTTGCATTCCAATCACCAACAATGATCAATGTATCTTGATTGCATGTTTGATCAATCTCAGACTGAAGACATTGGTAGAATTTTTCAATTTGATCATAGTTCTGTTTGAGAAGGTATCATGGTTGGTGCTGAAATCTAAATAACAGTGACATGAACTTCTAAATAACAGTGACATGAACTAGTCTTCCTTGGTGTTGTTGTTAAGTGCTATCGAATCAGTTCCAACTCATAGTGACCCTATATAGGGTTTCCAAGGAGCAGCTGGTGAATTTGAACTGCTGACCTTGAGTATCCCATACATTATCCTACAGCGCCACACCTGGTCTTCCTTGTAGGAATATTGATATTATCCTATCACAGACAGTATTGCACTTCAAGACAGATCTTGGAATGTTCTTTCTGATGATGAAGGCTACACAATTCCTCTTGAATTTGTCGTCCCTGGCAGAGCAAACCATATGATTGTCTGATTCAAAATGGC